CAGGAATTGCATCACAGTATAGCATACCAATTGAGTTGTAATGTTTGATTAAAGCAGATTCTTTGTACAACTTTCAAAAAACTTTTCTGCACAGGAAAAGTTATACTGTACCTTATTCTCTACAAAGCAGCTTGACTACAGTGTGTGGTGTGGAGACTAGCTACAATACTCCCCTCATTTTTCCCCACACCCCCTCCCCAGCCCCAAACACACATACTCCCGACAAACCACGACCTCAAGCCTAGAAGCATGCATTCCACTGGGGCTATTCACACACGAATGCACCATGAATAATCAGCCTCTAGGCCTGACTCAGCCCTTCACATGCTGTTACAGGTTTCACAACATACTGAACTCTGGCCTCTTCCAGGATCTACTGGGTGAATCACTGCTGACACGCTGTAAAGCTCACTGCTTCGTGTGGGATATCTTGGGAGAACCACAGGGGATGATTTCAGACACAGTGACATGCTGGGATAGTATAAACCAATAAAGGTTTTGACTGATTGGATTTTCTGGGAAGGACAAAAAAAAATCAAAATAGAAAAAAAGAGCAGAAACACAGAAGGGTCAGGATTTTGCGTCAACACCCTTACACCACACCCAATTCCAATTAAACTACAATACCCAATTTATGGGCACATGGAGGTAACCATACACTTTCACTCTCCTACAAAAACTGGAAATGGTGTAATAAATATACACACAAGAAATTAGGGACACTGTACAATGTACTCCTCCACATTATGTATTCATTTGCTGTTCCTGTGCCTTGCTCATTATTCTCTAGGCTAATTCATGAGTCTTAAATGCCAGGCCTTAGAGTTCACAGTTGTTTGTTGATAGATAGATCTCATTAATTTAACTGGGTAATAATTTGCTCACCTTCATACTGCTGATGGGGACTCCTGCAGCTTTGTGATGATTTTAAAGTAAACACGGAGAAGAGACACTGGCTAATAATATTCACTGAAACAAAACCTAGAAAAGCCTCAGATTTACTACAGGAGAGAACCCCATCTGAACCCAATTCCAACTGCAATATGTTTACACATGACTTTTCATTACTGCAAAACAAAAATGAGAGAGTAAAGTATTATATAAATCTTTCAGGACACCGTTTATAGAGTCACAAAGGGTTTATTTTCTGTGTTATAGCAGTATGATTTTATTTTCCTGACTCCAAAGAACAACAGTGTGCCATTTCAGAAATGGCACAAAGCACCAATCAGGTTAGTGATCTTTACTGCTGGCCTTGGAGAGCCACAGGGTCTTCTGGTTCTCTATATAAACTCCTAACAACATGATTGATTCAGATACTGACTTCATTGGTGTATATTACAACTACTTCAAGATTTTCACTCATTAAGTACTCTCAGTTCCCTATAAAACCTGCCACACCATGATTCTCCATGCACAGGAGTGAGGATTACTGTACTAGGTAATTCCATGAAACATTTTTTCCTTTCCAAGTCTTAAAAATCCATTTTGGCCTTACAATTTCACTGCAGCACCATACAATTTTACTTGGATCTTTTAAAACTATAACACTTGAACAAAAACTCACTCTTTATTCTTGACTGATCAGATACTTTCTACAAATCTCCATGCATACAAAAACTTCTAGCTGCGTGTTTAGAAAACTTCTTCACCACAAGAGACTGCAAAAGAAAGAGGGCTTTTTTGAAAATTGTTTAAAGGGAGTTGGCATGTGCATATGCTTTGCGGTTTGGCATTGGTGGTCTTTAATGCACATCTTTTTCAATCTGTTTGATGTTGATCTGAAGCTGTATTATCACAAAAAAAACTGCTCCACACCATTGGTGGCCAAATAACACCATGATCTAAATTCAATATGCTTAGCAAAAGCTTTTTCTTACTTTTCCCTACTGCATCTTCAGATCATGGAGTGATTAGATCACCACTCGCAACATGCAGATATAAGAAGTAACAGAGAATGTTTTCAAACAGGAAGTATCCACTTCAAACGATAAAGAGAAGTAAGGCATGTTAGAAGCATCTTTAAAATAATTCTTGAAACAAAGTTTCAGTTCAAATAAACGTTCTCCAAATGAGCATATAAGGTTGTTAGGAGTTCTGGAAATGTACTGTGTGCATGTGCTAAGGGAGCAGTACAAATCAGTGTCAGATTTCATGATACTTAATTGATTATTAATGAACAATTAAATGACCTCTGCAGCTTTAAAGCTGTGTAAGATGCAATTATATCATTCAGATGTAAGTGCTGACTTTCGTCAATAATCATGATGATAAAGGGCAGTTATATACCACTGATTGTAAGCTAATTAACCACTGGTGGAAGTACATTTGAACAGAGAAAATGGAGAACTTCACGCAAAGGACTGTGGGAGTGTGGAACTATCTATTCAGTAAGCAAGGTTACAGTGTTTTGTTGAAGCCGACAACCTGGCCTCTTTCAAATCATGGCCATATGAGGTCTTTGGATTAATTGGCTGTTATCTACCAAATGGGCTAAACAGCCTACTCTCGTTTGTATTTTTCCTAATGCTTTTATGATATACTAGATAGCCAATCCATTTCAATATGAATAAGTTGTTAACCAACCACAGCACTGTTGTAAGAAACTCAGTTTTATTAACATTGGGAGCTTTCATCAATTTTCTATTTTGACTGTTTTTGAGTCACCACTTTGAGGAAAAAAAATGAAAAGCAGTTTCCTTTCAAGGGCATCCATGTGTTACAGTGCACAACAACTTCATACACAAACTGCGTGTGCCTGTGTCCCTTCCTGTGCAAACTGCAGCAGCTAAACCAGTGAAAACATCAAACTTACATAAACTGTTGTGAAAAAATAGTGTATGTACATAAAAGATACAAAACAAGTGGTTGGGGTTTTTTTAGAACAGTGTTTTTAGAACAGACACTAACATTTTCATATGGCTTATTTCATTTCAAAACTCATAATTAAGCAAAAATCACATTGGCTTATTTGATTCTGTTGTAGGCCAAACAAATCAGACATTTTATGAAAAATCTGAAAAATCTCATTGAAGAGAAAGACATAAACATGACATTGTAGAATGTCAAGCATGTCCATTGTATACACAGAGAACAGAAAGTGGTGTGTTCTGTGCTATTAAATTGCTTTATAAAAAGTAAGACACAGATACCACAACTATCAACCACCACAACGAATGGTCTTGGTACTTCTTCAGCTTACATTCCTCACATTTTCTACACCAGCACTGCTGATGGAGTGAGCAATTCTATTGAAATGGATGTGTTGCATATTTATCATAAAGTCAAGTGTGCCGGGGAAACCAATCATACAGAATAAAATGAACACACAACCCATCTTGTAACCTCACGGAAAACTGCTGTATCACTACAAAAACAAGAACACGAAGGCTGCAAGCTGTCGTTAGCATCATACCTGACACTCTGGGGGATTCTGGGAGAGGGACAATTTCAGAAGATGAATCCAGTGGGAATATGGAGCAGGGTTAGGGTAAGTTGGAACAGGAGATCACAGCCAGCGATTCAAGTTGAAATGGAACAAAATCGATAAAGGTGGCTTGCAATCCCCAATGGCTCAAACCCGATTAGTGACCGCAAAAAATCCAAAAGAGTCATGGAAACATGTACAGTATGTGTACATACAGTAGCAGCTCATCAGTTTCTCACAGCCAGAACTGGATTTCCTGTATTTCTTTCACCAACCAGTTCATGTCAACCTTTGAGAGCGTCTGAACTGACACATTAGTCAGGTCTGATATTGAAATTGCACATGAGGTAACTTTCAGCGGTCTTCTTTCTCATAGCACGCTACACTAAAAAAAGACCTGGTCTTAAACTACTTTTCAGTCCTTGTGACTATAGAATCACTGTAGAACATGCCGTTTTCTGATATTTTTGTAGGGCAACGATGAAGACTGTGAACAACATGGAAATCTCTCTACTATATTTTTTAGACCGATAAAATAGGCCATACACTGGCGAAGTCCAACAGGGTGTAAAAGAAAATATTATTTTTCATAATTACAACTACATGCTTCAAAGGCTTCCATTGAAGCAGGCAGTAAAGAGCTTTAAAACAAACTTGAAATATAAGACAAAGGGTTTTCGATTTCATTCCCATTACTATTAGTAGTAGTATTATATTGAAATATGTCAACACTAGCATACAGTCCTGCCAAGTGTTGTACTTAATGACTGTCTAGAGGCTTCTCACTGGCGTAGCTGCGTATGTTAAACAGAATTTCGCTTTTAGAAAAGAGCCAGAGATCCGAACAGTAGCTGTACTACTGCAGCTGCTTTATTTGAAAAGAAAATGAGCCGTGAACGATTCACGGAAAACGTTCAATTATGTCAGCATAATGACATTGCAGTCTGACCAGCATGATAAAAAAATAAACACAGATTTATTGTAATACATAAACAGTTTAGATGTTTTGAAATACTTTCTACTCACGTATTGGTATTGCAGTATAGTTAGACTGACCGGCCTGGGTAAAGCGACCGAAGAAAAAAGTTAAAACGCTAAATCTGGGATAAAGAAATACAGGAACTCGTCGCATTAAAATATTAGTCTGGTAAGGCAGCAAATAAACAAATCTCCCTCAATGTTTTGTTCTTTAAAAGCAACACTGCATACACAATACACTCTAAAAGTAGCTTGGAAAACCTATCATAATTAAACACGTAGGGATACCTAGAGGTCTGAAATGGGCAGAAGTTTTCAAAAGCGACGCGCAGTTAGTTGATCATCATAAATACGAAACACAAGCAAGCTAAATAACCTCGATAGTGTTTATTTTAATCTGTGAACAAATAGAGATTACTAAAGATCAAATAAAAGACTGCAATAATGCACGACTGAAACATTTTATCACATAAACGTTATACTTAACAATAAACAATGAAGCACCGTTCCAGCGCTGGATGGCAGCTTTCTTCCAAATGAGTAGTTATTTGAGTACTGGGAAAAAAAAAACATTTGCAAAACGCCGATTTCTTACCTGCTTGCACGCCAGCTAAAATGTCTTGGTTTTATTTGTAATTTAGCGGTATTCCAAAGAAACGTGCCAGGGATCTGATTTCTGCAGAGCACTTAAGGATGCGGTCATTTTCTCACGCTTGTTTTCGTGGGAGTAGTTTTAAAAAAAGAAAATCCACCGAAAAACTTCACTGCTTCCGCAGCGCCGTCACGTGACTGAATTGCTAAACCACTTGTTTTCCATCTACCAGCTATCCTTTCCCTCTCTAGCCCCCCAAACTAAACGTAAAATTGGTCCGAAGAGAATCCCTGGCAAGACAGTTATAAATAATGTTTGTTGGCAGTGTAGAATTAGTTATGTCTGGATTAGGCAAAATGCATGACTGTTACGAACTAAAACATCCAGAATAACGGGCTTGCCCGTGAAAACTGACCCTTTTAAATGTTATCATTGACATTTCACCGACTTAGGTGCTACTTCATTTATAGCCCATTTTAAGTTTGAAAAAATATCATCCCCTTTGTTGTTTTAAAAACGAACTTAACTTTCTTAAAAAGTTAAGAACAAATTTACGTTATCGTAGCTTGATAAACAAAAAAGTTACATTTTTAGAGCCTAGGTATTATCAAGGCTCTACAATCCAGTAAGGATTTGACTTTGTATGGCAGTCAACATAAACATCAGATTCACAGGTGAGCACAGTGAATCCTCCATCTACGTCTTCCGAGTCCAATATTAAGACCATGTTTTGGGGGGGAAAGACTTCTCACCAGAGGGCGTCAGCGCCCTTCGGTTAGATACCAGGCGATGCATTTTTACTGGAATTTCCACGGTGCTAAAACAATATGTAAACTACCGTGAACAACGACTGTCGAATTCCAAAGTATTTAAATTTTTATTTTTAAAAGATATCACAGTTGGAGGCTTTACACACGCATACGGCACAGCTTTCATATACGTATCAAAAAGAACCAGGGAATAATAATACCAACAGTAGTAGTATGATGAACGGCTCGGAGTTAAATCCTTGTGACTGTAGGCTACCGAATATTTATGAGGATAACACATGTGTGGGAGTAGGGCGTATGCATACCACCGCTGCTTTAAGGCTGCGAGTTATTGTAACAACGATTTTATTCATTGTTTGGATGTAGCATGGATTTAAACAAAACTGAAGCAGTTAGGTGACCCCCTGAATCGGTTTTCAGTGATTCTGAGATCTACTTTCGTTGCAGTATTATTAATGTTGCTGTTTTTTTTTCCAAAGCATTGTAGCATGTCAGTTAGCTCAATAAGCTTATTTTCAGCTGTGGACTAAAGCCTGCTGCCCAAAGAAATAACAATTCCTGCTTAAATGCTACGATAATAATAACAACAACAACAACAATAATACGCAATACATACAATTTCACAAAATGTTTCCTTTTGTTCTTTGAAATTGTGATTTAATCCAATTCAAACCAAGAACTGACAGTCAAGTTTGCAGTAGGATCTCTGAGGACTTCATTCTTGTATTATTATACAGCTCTGCAGGTGTTTAACAGTAATAATAACTCCTTATGTTTAATGTAGCACTTAACTGGACACTCCACTCAAAGCACTTTACAGGTAACAGGGACTTTCTTCAACGACCACCAATGTGCAGCCCCACCGAGATGATGCATTGGCAGCCATAGTGCACCAGAATGCTCATCAGCTATCAGTGGGGAGGAGAACTGAATGATCAAGCCAATTTTTAGATGGGAATTATTAGGAGGCTAAATGCCGGGACACCAGGGATAACACCCTTACTTGTTTCAAGAAACACCCTCATGACGTTAGTTTGAAGTCCAAAGGACAGTGCCTTTTTTACAGTAAAGTGTCCCCATCACTATACTGGGGCATCACAATCCATGCCAATGATCCCTCTAAGCTGTGCGTGTGTGCACGCACGCACAGGTTATGAGGTCAGCAAACATAGGAAATTGAACTGTGCACAAAAAAATCCCCAAAAAATATGATAATAATAAAATAAATAGGGTCATCAATTTAAAAATGCTAAATTGACCACATGAGACTGGTCGTAGTTCAGGTGGGTAGCTGCGTCAGCATGCATAGGCTGCCAAGGAACAAGTAATAGGTTTATTCCCAACTTGGCTGTGTGCAGTCTTATTGCTACTTGATAATCGTAATCTACTGTATGCTCTATGACTGGGCTCATTGAATCGATGTCCCGGTCTTTTGGATCTCTATGCTTCTATGGGAATGACTATATTTAAAAAAAATTCAGGTTTAAAATTTTACATCCACTCAATTTAGTGCGTACAAGTGTTTGTCACTGGGGGGAAAAAAGTTGCACAACTTGAAATGTTTGCACACACAGGCCATTAAAAACTAGAGGGAACATTGATCTATGCTCCCAACTGGTCCCACTAACACCTCTTCCAGCAACACTTTAGCTTTCCCAGGAGGTCTCCCATGCAGGTAGTGGCCAGGCTCACACCTGCTTAGTTTTAGTGGATTCCCAGTCATGAGTTGCAGCGTAATATAGAGTACAGTAGCTCCTGGCTATAAGTAGTTGAACCTATCTTCATATCGAAGGTGGTTGCTCAACACGCCTGTGTATAACCATTACATCTACAAATGCAGTAAATCATGATACCTCGGGGCCTGTGATAATATAGGCTGAAACAGGAATGACCAGTTTCTCAGGGATGGAATTCTACAGGTTTTACAAACAAGTTCATTCAGCATGTAAAAATATGACTATTGTCCAAATAATGAATTCAATTAGGTCATCGAGAACAGAGGTGCCATTAAAAATAAAAGGACGGTGGATGAGAGTGCTTCTCTAATACAACATGGCAGTGAATTTCATCGGCTGCGCATTATAGCAGAAAACAGCCCCTCTTTTTCTTAAGAACTTCATTCTTAAGGAAGAAAGTAGAATGGGCAACTGTAGTTCCCAAAGGCCCACGGTCACTTTGCCTCTGACAATAAATTAAATCATTTATCTGTGGATGAAAGAACCTGAATTTGTCTCTTGATGACTAGAGTTGGCTGTCCCTGATCTACTCCACTTCAGGGTCACAACATGTTCAGCTCTGTCTCACAGGTAGTCTTTAATGAATAGAGCATGCATGCACTCTGTCTATAGTTGCATTTGATTTTTTAACATCTCACATTTTCCATTAGCTTGAGTTCTGGAAGAATTTATCCCCACTCAAGGCATATATGCTGGTTTTCTATGGTAATGAGTACATACATTTAAATCTGTGACCTTTTCATAAGTGGACATTTCATGCAAGTGAGTTAATAAACCCATTCTATTTTATCTTGATCTGTCGAGTCGGGAGTGACCATAGAAAAGTCCTTATACAGAAAAGTAAATGTTCTTAAAAGGAATGAATTTGGTACTGTATATGATCAACCCATTAACAAGGGAAGAAAAGGATTTCAAAATACTCTACGCCACAATTTTACAGGCAATATTTAAGACTGTAATAGTCAAAATTGCACAGCTTATATCTTTTTTTTCTCATATCTCAGTTTAGTAAAACTACAGTATATGTTCATACTGTAGGCACACTAAATTTAGCACATAGGCAAATAAAATTTCATTTTTGTGACATTCTCTTCAAAATATACAGTACAGTATATGCAATACGCCAATACAGAAAGACAGTGACTTCCTCTGCTTAAGAACTTGCATTAAACTGTTTAATTTGTAACTTACAACTTTCACAAGTACATAGAAGCAGCTAACCACATTAACATCTTGAAATAAGTCTGCATATAAGACTCTCTCTATATACATACATTTATACGTATAAATACATTGACACCTATGTCATAAATGGAAGTAAAAGGAAGGAGAAAAAAGTGATAAGAAATGGTAGCATATAGTAGCTGCTATTTCACCAACAGGTTTTAACAGCTACATCAGCTGATTTCCAATGCTTTTTGTTGGTGTGAAATACACGACTTGGTTCTGAAATTATTCTCTTTTCTCCATCAGAGGGGAACAGTTGTGAAAGTGGCTAATGCCATCCACCCAATCAACCTAAGCAACGGTGCTTAAACCATAGTTAGGCTGGTCTTGTTGTAGATGCAATCTGAATTCCATGATAGTCTTGCAGAATCCTGGTGCACTATAGCAGAACACTGGGTTAATTGTGCCTTGTCTGACTGTGTTCCTCTGTGGAGGCAGACTTGCTGGACCAGTTCTGTATCTCTGAGAGAGCATGACTTCCACAGTGCTGGGGGGAAAGGGGTTGGTGGGGGGGGGGTGGAGCCAGCAGTCATAGTGACTCACCTCGTTTCACTGCATGAAGCAAAACAGGACAGTGAGTGGGCGGATCAAAATGACAGCCTCGTGCTGCTTATTTATTCCTTTATGCCCTGCTGAGAAAAGCAGAGGCGTTTTGGCAATCCTAATGAGGTATTTCAGCTATCTAGCCACGGTTTCAGGACTGTGTTATTAAAAGAATTGTCAAGTGTTTTATGTCGGTAGTAGCCAATGACAGCACTTCTTAGAGGCAGAATGCTCATAAACTTCTAAATCCTGATGTATTTAATGGGATGGAAAGTGCATGGTCCTATTTCAACATATCATTTCTGGTCAACAGATCAGTACTTCTTTAATCCAACAGCATATACACAAAAATAGTTTGGCTTCTCCTGGAGTTCAATCAAACATCTGATTTTTTTTGTTTCTTTTCAGACCACTCGAGGCATCACCTTTTGTTAAAAACTAATTATTGTTTACATTGGCATTAAAGTTGTAACGAAGCGTTCTTTCAGGACCCTATGCAGGCGACACAATCCGGGAATGAGTGAGGAAAACACGGGGAAAATGCATGCAGGATACGGGGATGAAAACAGGGGGCGTGTCCTTGGTACGCTGGTGTTCAGGGGAGATGTGGCCAAGGCAAACAATCCAGGAAGAAGTCCAAGGGGAGGCAAAAGTCCAAAGCCGGGCGGTCCATCCTAGACAGACGATTAAAAACGGGGACTGGGACTGGGACCGGGACCGGGACTGGGACCGGGACAGAAACCAGAGCAGAGCCCTGAATAGAGTGAGTCCCTGGCTTTTAAGGAGAACTGAAAAGGGGGGTTGGAACAGGGAGCTGGTGCAGTGGATGAGTAGAAAACAAGGAAAGGCTGGAGCATCCTTAAGAGGAGGGGTTTACGAACGTGACAAAAGCATAGTTAGGTGTCGTAAGTCAAAATACAGATCTTGATTAATATGGTATAATCATAGAAAGAAAACACAGGAACACTGAAGAATACAGTACTATAGAATGTTCCAATACTATTGGCAATAGTCAGATAAAAAGCAAATCATAATTCATTGATATTAGATGGGAAAATGCAGGCTTATTACTTACTGTAGACTTAAGACAAGAAGTTAATACATTTTAAAGCACAATCTGTTTTAATAAATATATAAAGTAAAATTTTCTAGCACATATTTTGCTGAGATAAGTGCACTGTAGTTCCTATGTATTCCATACTGTATAATTCTTTTAAACATCCAAAAATTAAATTACACATTTATATTAAAGCTTATAATGATTGTTTGACAATACAAATATATTAAAATACTTCAATAGGTTGCAATATTTTGTGCCGTATCAGTGATTCCCTTTGATTTATTCCCATAAGATGTGACACTTGCAGCATGTTGAGCATCATGAAAGCCACCCAGCAGCTAAACCAGATCTGCAATAACTGCCATAAAATGCTGTCTCTCCTTAAAAAAGTGAAGGCACTGGAGCAGCAGCAGATGGAAATAAGAAAGCACCATGAGATGGAGGAACCAGCACATTCCACAAAATTCAACTTTCATAGCTAATGGAAACCTTTCTATGGCAATCTGTACAGACATGATGGATCACATCTGAGTATCACTGCTAAGGGCAAAGATCTATAAAGAAATTCAAGAATATTTAAACCAGAGTGTAAAGGGGGGAGAAGTAAAGGAAAGCGAGATACAAAGGGAGCAGCATCAAAATGAAAAGCCAAGGGAAAAATAACCGAGGAAATGGTAATTAGATGATTATAACCGCATGCCAGTATTAGAAACTACACACAAGAGACACAAGCTACTGCCTTTGCATGAGACGAGAATGTAATTGAAATCACAGAAATATGGCTCACAGAGAGAGATGGTGAGGAACATAATATTATTGGATACACCTACTTATGAGAAAGGAAAAATAAAAGACATAAAGGTGTAGCATTATGCATCATAAGAGCACACAGGCACAGGCACAGGAAACCCAGATGAATCAATGGTCTTGAGACCATTAGACTTATAATATCCAAAAAGTATAGTGTTGGAAGTATGCTACCATGCTCAGATAAATGCGAACTTCTGAGTCTCCCTGAAAGAAGTGGTTATCATGGGAAACTATGTAACGAACAGTTCTTTCCGGACCCTATGCGGACGACACAGTCCGACGGAGTGGGGAAACGTCATGCAGGAAAACGGGGCTGAAGACAAGGGGGCGTGTCCAAGGTGCGCTGGTGCACGGGGGAGGTGTGGCCGAGGCGAACAATCCGAGAGTGTTCTTTTTGGAGAATCCAAAACGCAAGGGTAAGTCCAAAACCAGGAGATCCATCAGAGGAAGGAATTAAAAAACCACGAAGGCCGGGTCGGAACAGGCGGACGGGGAACGGGGAACGGGACCAGGCGCTTCCTGGTCCCGGACTCGCACGATATGGAAATCAGGTGCAGAGCCCGGATGAGCGACAGCGCCTGGCTTTTAAGGTGGGCTAGGTAAAAGGGATCAGGTGCACAGAATGAAGTCTTTAGTGAAAGGGCTGGAGCACCCTTAAGGAGGGGGGACTATAATCGTGACACTTTACATTTCCTCATGAAGATTGGGAAATTTGAGGATGGATATCAGAACTTAAAACTACAATGGTAGATAAGGCTAATTACTACTTTTTACTTAGTTTTTCCATTCCTGTATTGACCTTGTGTTTTCTAACAATCAAGAAAAGGTGACAGAACAGTCAGACACCTGTTATCATAATATAGTAAAATACAGAGATACGTTGCAAAATAAAGGTTTATGTTTTCAGGAAGACTATGGAGACATCGAATGGGACAGGATGAATATGGAATTGGTAGAGAATTGATCATCCTTGGATCAACTACTAACCAAATGAGCTAGTTGTAGACAGAGTTGCACAGTCCTAATCCCCTGAGCTTTGTCACCAGTTGACTGGGTATGATGGAATTGAATGCTGAGCTGTAGTCCACAAACAGCATTCTCACATACGAGTTCTTGGTGTCCAGGTGTTCCAAGGCTGTATGCAGAGCAAGGGAGACAGCATCATCCACTGATCTGTTGTTCTGGTAGGCAAACTGATTGGTAAAAGGCAATATTATAAAGGGGCAAATAGTATATACAATATAAAATATTAATTAATATTACATATTTTATCATATAAAATATTATAAAAGGCCATATTATTTTATTGGTTTAAATTCCTGTAGCTTTGTAGATTGGTGGTTTGGATATGGTTACATCACCAATTCACAGTGAGCAATCCTCTTGAAAGCAAACCCTAGCTTATATTTTGACACTGATTGTTAGAAAGAAATTAGTAAGCATTACAGATGTCAATAAGCACTAATGGGTACTTCTCAAAAGTGCTCTTCTTAGTACTTGGGCTTAGGGTTTGCATTTTTAAATCATTTGTAAGTGAGAAGAGAAATGATCATTTGTGTAAGAGAAAGGGCCACATGAATTCTTAATTGACAGGTGAGGGTGCGGAGCAGCTGAATATGTATGGTGGAAATTAACAGCTCTTCATGCTAGAGTTCAGCCAGGAACATTTTGTAGTTCGTTACATTTACACACTAATCACACTATGTTGCATTGATGGTGAGACCACAGATAAAAATACACGCATTAGCAGATACTAACAAGGTGTATGATATTCTGTAAGCACCGCTGTTCCCTGCAGACCTAGACGATTCAGTTTTAATCTTATTCTAAGTGTCAGCTACAGAAATTGAATTTTCTTCTTAAAGGTAAAACCTGTGAGTAGCCAAGATGTTGTTTGGCTGAAGTATTTTGAGTTGTTTCTGTTTTTCTTTCAATCTTTATTTTCAAAACCATGGATTGGAATAGTGTTTTCAACACAATCATATTTAACCATTAAGCCATGTACGATACAGAAAACAGCAGGTTGATTGATTGTTTAAGTCCCCTAGGTCCAAAGGAGCTCCTTTATAGAAGATTGTGTCTTCTGTTTTATTTTCTCTAGGAAAAATCTCAATTACAGGCTATTTGATTTCAATTTTCTATTTAGGAAATGTATCAAAATTTGCTTTCCACTTGTAAAATGTTATACAGTATGGCATTTGAATGTGGTGTCTGCACTGTACCTATTTCTGAGATTCAGAATTCCCCTCCTTCTGGTGTTGCCAAAAATGTAACCAACTTAATCTCTTTTCATTGTGAAAAAGTTAGACATGTGTACTTATGTGGAGCGTATTACCTGTCAATAGCTGTTTCTCCAGAGTTGAAGAGCTGAAGTGACAGTGCTTGAAGCTCTACATATTGAAGGTTTTAGAAACAGTATGCTATAGATGTGTTATTATGAAACTCAAGACTGAATGTAGTTGTACAACAAATACAAACAAGGAAGTAGCTGAATTAAAGATATCAGTTATAAGTGGAGATTTAGATAACGATAACACTGTTAAGTTTATTGCTGTAGAGCTCAATGGAACAACAAAGTTATTAATTGTACCATCAGGGCACATTATTAATGTGTGAAACAATATGACATAAGATCAAAGACATCCTAATAACAGACATCTTCAGTACTGCATAGCAAAGGGAGGGGAAATGCTCTTATGCAATTTATTTTTATACTTCCACATCCGAGGCTGCCAACACGCTGGTACTGTATAAATAATTCAACTGCAACTGACCACTAGCCACTAACCTTGACAAGCAGAGCCTTGCTAGCAGAAACATTCTCCAGGTGGTCTTTTCTTCAGGATGGCTTGTATTCACTTTAAATCTCTAAATCTGAACAGGTTATTTCAGTTATTGCAACCCATCCTGACAGAGGCAAATCTAATTACCTATGACAAAATGAAGAGGATGCAAGCAGTGGTAATGCCCTTTTCACCACGAGCATTATACTGTATGCCTTTGCACTGGGGGTGGGGCCTGTCTCCCTCACTGCTTCAGAAACAGGGGCCTCAGGCGTAACCTTTTAAGCACAATGTTAAATACCAGGCTATAACATAACGTCTTAATTACCACTGGGAAAACCAAAGTGTAAACAAGCACAGTAAAGTGAAGAAGTGACTTTTGAGCAATCCTCAATGACACTTAACTAGCGTGCACGGTAGGGCTAAAATGTTTTATTACAGCAATGAGAAACTACAAAATAGTACATATTTGAGATCAGCGGTGTTTGAAAAAGAGCTTACATTACTTCAGCTGCTCTCGTTTCAGAAAGGTTTCAAATGAGAGGAGGCCATTTCTCAACTTCTCATTTGCTAAACCACAGTAAAAGTCACAAACCTGTCTTTATTTCTCTCAATAGTTTTTCCCATGGTGTGCTATTATTCCACTTTGAAATTCTTCCCAAATACACACTTCCAGGAAAAGTTACTCTTGTGAATTAATTTGCAAAACGGATGACGAGTAACTGCAACATGGAAAGATGTTATCGGTCATAAAATGCTTTGGTACTGCACGGTGCACTTTTGCTTGCAGCAGTTAGACACAACATAACTTTGTCTCATTTAGCCATGGAGAAGCTTTTTGGAGATTGTTCTGCTGGACCATTGTTGTTTGATACAATAACAAGGAAGAATGTCAGCCAATACAAGTGAAGTGCTATATTGCTTTATATATTTATTTGTTATTTTTTATGTTACTTTTCTGGACATCAGGGTCACTGTAACTAGCTCCACATATAATTACCTTGCATTTATAACACACAGAATAAGACATGCGAGTGTGTCACTGCAGTTTCTTTATCTCTTTCTCTTTCTCTCAGTAAGGCATGAGGCTAAGATCCATAACATGCTCAAGTGCCCTTTCCTAAGAATGTTGCCAATCTGAGAGCGCTCTCTCTTTGATATAATCAGCAATAAACACTTTGCTGCAGTGCTGTGTTGCTATGGCAACGTGGGAAGGCAAAGCAGATTTTCAACTAGACCAGAAGTACCAACGTACATTAGTTTACATATCATTAGTTTGTTGTTTCTCTGTATATGGTGTACATTTATTTTAAAAAAACAATAATACCCCCCAATCCATAGCTGTAACCGTGGTTGCATTTTCAAAATAAATTATAATTACTATTATCTACATTTTGAACACTGGTTCTAGTATTTCCAAAATTAAACTACTGACAATATACAGCATCACAAACTGCTTTTGCATTTATGACCATTACGACTTTTCCTATGATTACAGCCGCTTCAAGACTGGAAAGAATGGAGTGGAGAAGCTACAGACCAAAGTGATACTGTTCACCCACCCTTTCCAATATCAAAACCCACCAGGTATATACAGTACTGAAAAGAAAATGCAAACCATAGAAAATATCAGAACAACCTCACAGAAAAAAAACTACAAAGGCCCACAGATGCAGTGACCCCCACCAACACTAGAAACTACAGTATCAACTGCATGTTATTCACCACCTACTATTGTGACACACAGTTCATTTCAAACAAAATGGTAATGGTATTATGACTAAGCTTTTCTTTCTGTGTATTTCTAATAACAAAATTATTAATATATATAACTATTTCAAAGATAGTACTTTATGTTTATTTTACACATGGCAAGCGATCATTTAGCATGCAAATGAATTAGTGTCCTTCTTGTTTCTATCATACATATCCAGTCTTTATCTTTAGTTTTGGTTAATATGTCCATTGTAGCAGTGCGATAGCACAATACAGTGTTACAGAAACCAAACACACAGGCTTCAGGCAAGGAATCCTTTGTCCCTTCAAATGCTTCATTACTTTTCACCAGTGACATGTCAGCTTTCAGTCTGTGTAAACTGGAGCCGAGTGGTTACAGAGGCTCCATCCTCGAATCCATGATTTTTTAATGACAGTATTCTAAGTCTGCAGCAGAGGAATTTTCCATTCTTCTGGGAAGTGGACTGTACACCTTACTGAGGAAAGAAGAAATGAAACAAAACACCCTCTGTCTCTTCGAACGAACATTGTTTATTTCTTCTTATTGTCTGTCTACCCCTAATGAGACTGTGACATGCTTGATTTGCCAAGGGGAAAAGAAAGCTAACCTTTAAAAATGCCAGATCAAAGTGAAAACAAGATTAAACACATACTGTAGAGGCACTTTTCGCTTCCTGAAAGCTTAGATGGGTGTTAAACTGCTACAATAACTGTAGTGAAAAAAAAATGGCATTTGGTCAACTGAGCTTAAGACCCAGGGAGAAGTGCACTAGAACTGACGTGCTGAAACCAGTCTGAAGCTTTGTGCTAACTGGAGCAGCAGCAAAGCTCACTCTGGGTTTTTACAGTAAGAATAATCAACAAAGAGAGAGGTGAATGTGTGGCAAGAGAGAGATGCATGTCCAGGAGTGAACATGATTCTCTTAATTTGAAAGGGGAGAAAGAAATTAAAAACCAGACCCTCAATAGCAATAGAAACAAGTTCTTGATTTTGGAAGGCAAGCTGATGAAAAAATGAGCCTGCTACACGTCATTTAAAGTAAAAGTGAATAACAATGTTTAAACAATTTTTATCCCCACAATTCATTTAAGTTTCCTACCACATGGAAAATGCGGCAACACCCAATGATATTATATTTTATTGTTTATTAGGCTGATCTCTATTGTTTTGTGTCTGTAGAGTTGCTGTGGTGATTTCACTCGCTTTATATATCATTCTGCCTGTCTTGTCAATACTGCTGAGTTAGCCACAGGCAATAATGATCAAGTAATTCTCAGTGAGGTCTTACTTGTACAATGCATTATTGTGCATTTAGAATATCGCGGAAACTTTCAGTTCTTAAAATATAAAAAAAATGTACTTTTGCTATGGGAATGGTACAGAGAAGAGGCAAACACCCATATTTCCAGGTTCAAATCGATATCCTACACTGACAGGCTAAAACAACTGCAGCTCATAGAGAACACTACAAAGGGACTAGAGTATTTAAAATCCTCAAAGACATTGATAAAGTGACTCCAAGTTTGTTCAAAATCAGCAACGAAACATGAACCAGAGAGCAAAAGAAAAGTATAAAAAAGAAAAGCATTTACAGAAATCCTTTGTTCAATTAACTACTAAAAGCCAAATAAGCTAGATCGCATGGCTTTTTTCTTCTTTGTAACCATTCTTATGAATTTAATCAATATTTTGTTTTTTTCTTCTAGTTTTTTTTTTGCATCTGGAACTGTTCCAGTAATCTCCTTTCCGATAATATAGATTCAGGGACGGCATTTTTTTGGTACAAAATGCAACACAAAACACAGCACAAGAGACCTTATTTGATGGTGAAGAAAGGGGTGATATATTGAAAAGGTGATATTTATTGGTAATATTGTCAGAATGCCATATGCATGAAACATAAATCATTTATAAAAGAGCAGATTAAAATCATCTTTATATGCTATGGGCTTGACCTAGAAACCGTTTCCCATGTTCTGTATATTTCAGCTACAAAACAAATATCTTTTCTGTACTCTTTCTTTCAAGGCCACAGACTGTAGCACAATATTATCAAGCCCCATTGTTAGCGGTATCAGTAGTAGGGTACAGGCACCAACTCAAGTTTGCAGAAGTGGCGTCACACACAGCAGATCTTGTTTGGCCTTGTCTTTAATTTACCGCTTTTTTGTGTGATCAAATGATCTCCTGGTACTTGATTTTCAAGACATCTGAAGTAAATCTGAACTCTCTTACACCAGTAATGAGAATCCATGCTTTCTGTTTTACTTACCACCCATAACATATGGATATAAAAAGGCTGTTGATGTGTCAATGTTGCCAGTTGCCAGTTGTAATGAAATGTTGAGGTGGATAAAAACAACTTTTGGCTTATCTGAATACCACCAGTGAAGTTGCTCAAGCCTGGGTTGGGGTGCACAGAAATCAGTTGAACTATATTGCCAGTGAGAACAAAGATTGCAGTACATTTGGTGTATGTGAAAGTATTTAAAGCTTTGGAAACTGTTTGCCCTGCTGGCTGAATGTTAAAAGGAAAATCACTCTTGATCACCTCATGTTGTTGTGGAACTGTTTCCCCAGCCCAGCTGTGCAGCCTTCTACAAATCAGACCTTGGCATTAATATGCGAGTGCTAAAAGGATCCATTTACATCTTGAAGATGATTTTTCTATTCTGGGTCACTCAGGACATGTACATGAATGCTTGTGAGTGTTCTCCAGGTGTAGTGTGGTTTAAAATACGATATCTGTCTCAGGACACGGAATTTTTGCCCATGGGCACTGCTACTATCTTTAGGGATAAATATTAATAGGACAAATCTGTCAAACTATCTAAATCAATCAGATAGTCAATGAGGTACAAACTGCAATCAGTTTGCCACTTGGGAAAATTGGGCCCATGATTTCAACAGCTATTGTGGTACTTGTGGCTGTACAAAGTAGCAGTGAGTACTACACTAAAAAGTACAGTACTACAGTACATTAAATTATACTTTGCACTCCATATAGCTCTTTGTGTATCTCAGCAACACTGATTTTCATAATCTCCATGTAAATTTAAGTACAGGTACACCCTGAACCTGTGAAGCCATCATTCGCAACTCCATCAGCACTCAAACATGGCACTGGACGGCCCTGACTTGTGCCAAACACAATCAGGGAAAAGGTAACCAAGAGTTAACACGCTGAAGACCTGCAAAACCATTTCAGTGCAAAACTGTTTCTGCTTTTGGTCATCTTCTCGCCCCTTAAAAAAAAAAGGATGTTTATGGGCTGTTTTTAATACAAACAGAAATTAAATCACAGGGCAAAACCTCGAGAAGCATCCTGTATTTTTTTCTACATACATTCAAACAACCCCAGATAGCAGAATTCAAAACAGCATTTGTCAAGATTTAATCTTTAATTTGCAGGTCATCTTATGTGCTTCTAACAAGCCCATTAAGCGGTATTAAACTGTAAAGGATGTCTCAGTAACATGGACACAACGGATGTCAAAACACATCGAGACAGTACTTAGAAGTGTCAGAGTCCTTTTCACAAAGAACTAGGAAAAAATACAACAATCTATTTGCTGGCAGTGCTGAGAAAACGTTATTTGAGCGGGCTGATCCCCAAAACTATTTTCACTATTCAGTTTGTATTGTCCTTATTGTTAACTCTGGTTAACCTTGGCTTGTGTGTATTAGATTGAAGTCTGAGCTTTGCCTTGGATTGGTTTTCCACAAATATTTGGTAACTGCATGTAAAGTAAATGCACAGAAATACTACCTTAAACCTGTTGAAAAACCAATCCTATTTGTGTTCAATCAGAGCTTCTTACCAGGTCTGCATGTGTCTGTGTGTCATAACATGCCGCTAGGCAAACCTATGTGTTTTTTAGGTGCTAGGCAAACACGAATGTCTGTGTTACAGCCTCGGTGGAATAAGGAATGTACATTTTCATTGAAGGAAGAAGGTCAAGGTCAGAGCTTCACAATCCTAATCTTCGTTTTCCCAGCATATGCAGGTTTGTGCTGCAAGAGAAATGTCACATTAATCTAATTTTTGGTTCAGCAAACGTTTCAGCTCAAGTATCCTAGAGCTTTGCCGGAATGAAACCAGCAGGCACTGGGGTCAAGAGCATTAGGATGGAGAAGCCCTGCCTCAGATTCTCAGAAATGCCCTGATGATATGGACTGTATTTCTGAAAGTCTCTTTAGTGTATTAGCATGTCTACACAAATGCTCCTGTTGTTGTGTCAGCCTAGGCATGACCATGTGTCTCAATAAGACAGATTCTGTGTTTATACAGTAAGAGCACGAGTGCGTGGGAGTGTGTGGGTAAACGCGCAGTGAGTGTGTGGGAGAGTGTGTTTTTATGCAAGTAGACCTCTCCTTCGTTCGAAACCGCTTGGGTACGGGGCGTGTCTGCTCTCAGTTGGCTCCCTCGTCATCACTGCCCTCACAGCGCTCGTCTTTGGCCTCGCTCAGGCCACTCTCATCAATGTTCTCCAGGGAGTCAGCGTGCTGGATGCTCAGCTCTGACAGGGGGATAGTGGGCAGGCGACTCTGCTCCGGGTATAGCCAGGGCTTATAATGGGGATTGTGTTTGTGCTTCCAATCAGGGTATTTCAGGCATGCCTTGGTGATCTTCTTCATTGCCTGAAAGCCACAGGAAAAACATGGGAAAAAAATACTTTCATCATTGTATATAAAAATGTATCCAATGGCAGGACTAAGCATTCTTGTACAGTCCTTTAGAAGTCTTGTATAAAAAAGTATAAGTTAATATAGATACTGTACGTAAATTGCTTATGCTTTTAATTTGAAAATAGAATTGCCACACAAAAGCTAAAGAAATAAATAGTTCCTATTGGAATGCAGTGAATCAGGTCATTAACAATCAGTTTTCAGTAGAATTAAAAGCAGTGATTATTGGAGGAAAGATCATGGCAGACTTGCATTAAGAAATCTATAGTCATAAGATATTACACAATCTGTTCACAACAGGACAGTGCATATGGGACAAGCCAGCCATGTCAGAGGTGTGGTTCTGTATCACAGGGGGTCCGATTGCTTTAAAATCTAACAATAAATACAGCGTTTGCTCTTGAGATCACCTTTGACATAAGCTTTGTAATTGAGATAGAAGCTAATAAAAACTCGATCTAGACAAAAACCAGGGGAGATTACTCTTAACCTCCCTGCCTAGTCCTACATCCTCTCCTATTATGCACACTCACAGGCTAGAACCATAGTCAGATTCAGGTGCTGCAAATAGGTCAGATCAATCTGTTTGATGGTGAATTTGCCAAAACCTTCCTTGCCGTCTGGAGTACAATACATGTTTAAAGAGAATGCATCTTTACAGACCAATTTAAAAAGAGAAGCAAAAAAAAGGAGTTTTGAAACTGCATGTTGCTTTTCAGTAGCAGAAAGGTTTCAGGCCTGTGGCTTGAATTTTTAATAAGCTGAGGGAAGCAGGCTCTAAAGAGAGTGTTTTTCTAGAGTGCTGTCACAGGGAGATTTGTGGCACTTTAACCAAAGCAGAACTGTCTTCAAAAGGCTTGAGTGCCATGTTGAATGACTGCCAGCTAGCACAGTGACCCTCCTTTGTCCTCTGCTGGATACAGCTGACTATTGTAATTGCTTCTTCCTTTTGTTTACTCACTTAAGTAAATGGCAGGGGGGAAAAAATAGCATTTTAAATGAATGGCAAAAATATTTTCAAACATACCTTCCTGTTTTATTTGTGACATTATCACTAGTAAATAAGAAAATAAAAAAAGGTAGAAGAATCCATAAATTGAAATCATAGAGCATAAGTAACTGAACTGGGCTGACATTCAAGTTTTTTTTTCCTTTCATCTTAATTATGAAATAGATGGTTACAACACTGCAAAATAAGGTTAAGTGCCGCAAAGTGAAACCAGGATACAAAGAATATTACTAACACAGACTGTCTGGAATGCAAAAAATGCTTCCCTAACAATGTGGTAATTAAATAAGTCCATATAGTGCCTTGAGTGCATCAACACTCTGTATATTTAAGTTTTATTCTGCCGTTGAAATGAATTCCCTGTGGATCCGTGACCCACTTCCTTTTCATACACATACATAAACACATCTAAATGGACATATGATGTGACGCTGAGGAAAGAGTCACTATGTCCATCACCGTAGCAGTTGCTGTTCTGCATACCATACACAGCCACCTCAAAGCTGTCCAGTAGCTGCTATCTTTCCTATTTCTGATATGCAAATAAGGTGTCCCAATTAAATTTCAAAGTAGCACATTTACTATGTGAAGTGGAAATGAGTGTATTGTAGACTGTCCATGTTACACATATTTAATGTTTTCAAAAACAAAGCACTGCAGTGTTTCTCATCTACCATCATTTAAAACCTAAAGCTTAAAAAAGGCAGGTACTATAAATGAATTGGCCTCAATTAAGGTACATGGCTCAATTGCTGATGATAGTGGGCATTTAAGTTACAATACAATAAAGATAATATGCTGTTTCAGAGCTCTAAGGATAAGGTGTTCCCTATGGAAAAAAAATAAAAATAACATGATTAAAGACCAGGCAAAACATTTTAGCTTATAACTTCAAAGAATCCAGTTAATAGACAGATGATGGGATAATTTAATATGATCTTAATTACTCCTGCATTTTTTAGAAAAAATCAAAACACAGACAGGAATGTACTTACTTTAGGGGCCAGGAACTGGGAAGACTTGTTGACAACCCACTTTGGTAATGAACCTACACAAATAAAAATCCAAAAAAGGTAGGAGGATAAATATGATGTAGCCTTCCAATTCTGTTCTAAGCAAGCTGACGCCTGGTTTAAATCAAATACAATTGCAAATCCCTACCTAAATATTTGACAAAGACTTTACTTAGGTTAAATCTTATATACTGGATCTGAAATGAGAAGTTCTTTCAAAATGTGAAACTAATGTGGCCCTAATATTATGGACAATTTGGGTTTCTTGTTCTTACCTCTGGGGTCCACCTGGGCCAAGTATGTAAGAGTACAGCTGGAGGGTCCATGGCTCTGGATCAGATAGCCAGTCTGAATAGAAACCGCTCGCACCATGTCCTTCTTTGGTGGGTATTTCTGGGGAAGCCATATGAAAATCCCATTCAGTTAAAGTTTCACTCTTTTTTGATCACTACGATTCAAGTGCTTGCAAACATCAATTTCCTTCCTTCACACAAAACCACAGCGTAATCTTTGAACTTACAAACTTCTGAGCTAAGCAGCGATCTATTTTTAACTATGCAGATATACATATAAAAATACTGAAAGCCTTTAGGCCTCATCTGTAACCTGTGACTGGAGGCTCGAGTTCACTTGCAGGCTGTTACATGGCAAGAACTCAATGAACAGACTCCGTTTTTAACAGATGCAAAAAATACAAATTCTGACACAGACAAATTGTTTTTTTTTACTTCTTGGGGTCTACAAAGCTTCTGTTACTCCAAATGAGCACTCGGCAACTGACTGGTACCAACATGCACCACATTACCTAAAACACATGCAGATGTAGTGTTCACTTGCTTAACATCAATTCAGGAGGGTAGGCAAGGAATCAGTTCAGAGGTAGTGTGAAAATGCGAAACCTTAATAGTTCCAGAGCTGAAAACCACTCTTCAGTCAGGCTTTCTCTGGTTAGACAGTGTGAAATTTCCCTGTATTCAAGTCAGCTGTTAAGCACAACCATTTAAAATGAACTGATAACCACATAACCGTTTCTGTCGTTCTTTCAGATGGGGGAGATCAATGGGCCACACTTAAAAGGCAAGGCCCCGGGAGAAAAAAAAACTCCTATTGAAACAAATTATTTGCCAACTGAGAGAGACAGCGATATCGATTTTTAGCAACAAGTTCAGTGTGTAATGTAGTAATGCAGTCCTCAGCTGTTAGATCATGTAATCTTTTCCAGGATAAACTGCGTTAAAAAAACCCGGAAAATAAAAACAAACAAACAGCAATCTCATTGGAAAGGCCCTCACCAGACTGTAGTTAAAGAAAAAGCAAACCAAATGTACGCCAACCCAAACAACAATCTAATTACAGACATCTCTTGTCAGTAAAATTAAAGAGCTACTGATTAGTGTGGGACTGGTGAAGAGCTGACAACCGCCCCCAACTCTCTCCATGTCACTCTGTGTTAAGGAAAGGATTTTTGTAATCCCTCCCTAGGGAGGAAAGGTTTAATAGCAGAGACCCTTGATGAGCCGTTCAGCTCAGCTCACGATGAGAACCAAAAACTGAAACACGTTTTCCCTCCCTTTCTCCCTTCTTTGCAGGCGATGCAGGGATTCTGGAACATTCCTGGAAATTTTTACCCTTGTCTTAAAAACTTAGAGAAACAGACGACTGCCATCTTCAATATATTTATTATTTTCAACTTTTGTTTACCTCCAGGAAGAGAACACCTGGCTCAGCCTTGTTATGGATGTAATTTTTATCGGTGCCCATAGCTTTAAAAAAAGTCCAAATGTCCACAAAAAACTTTAGAAGTTTAAGCTTTGAAATATTCCACCGAATGTTAAATTCGGAACATTAGAATTTAAATAAAAATAAAATAGGGCCAATATGTTGTAGTAAACCATTATCCCTCTTGGTGTTATTATATAATAATAATTACATAAACATAATTTTATCATGAGAGAGGGGTAAAGACATTCCCTAAAAATCCTTTTCATGCTTGAACACATTAAGAGTGGAGACTGGATACTCACAGCATGTTTAACAGAATAGTTCATGATGATGTAATCTTTGCCCATGGGTAGCCAGGAGCGTAGTGTGATGACATCTCGATTCTTTAAGGGTTTGGGGCATTTCCCTGAGCAAACACAGCAATACCGTAGGGTTAGACAGAGCCTTCTGGAATAAGCATGAAAACAACCAAAACAGCATGAAGTCTCTACAAGTAGGAAAATTATCTGGGACACATTTGCAATGAAAACACTTCGTATCAGAAGCGAAAAATCTGAACTTCAGCTGACAGCAAACGCATGTTTTGTTGCTGTTACATACAGTACAACTATATCTAAACATCTCATCTAGAAATGTAAAACTTAAGACTGGGTATATTCATTTACAGTATGTTCTGAGCTTCATGCCTGAAATCAAATGTAGATATACAGGTATAATCACTTTCATACATTTGTTAAAATTTAATGGACATTTTTTTTGAGCAAAAAGGTGTCTTTGGTTATCTGAAAGCAATGTTATATATTAGAGCTTTTAAGATTTGAACTGTTACATTCATTTTTACTGTAATTCAACAATACTGGAAAAAGCACACTTATTGGCTCAAGATATGTCTCAGCCATTGTCCCTTGCTACTTTGTTAATAATTTCTTCTTCTAGGGTTTCACGTCCCTCACGTCTTACATGCATAGTATCCAACATCTGCATTCACTGTCAGCTTGCCAATGTCGAAGGTCTCTATCACGTTAGCGTCCCACTTCCTTCTGTACTCAATATCATGGAGGACATCGTACATGGTTTCTGCCGAAACGTCCTTACACAACATCCGACACTGTGGGGAGAAACAACCAATTAACAAAAACAAAAACGTGAAAGGCTTTCACAAAAACCGAGCACTTGCAAGAAGGGTTTGGAAGGCAGTCACCACCTTTAGCTTGGTTTTGGAAGCAAGTAGAGTAGCTCAAAAATAAATTATATATACAGTACATGACATTTATATAGACATTGTTCACTGAGAATGTAGCCTAAAGTATTTGCAAAGTGCCATCCTGAAAAAAACAACCTAAACATTCCTGATTATACTACACTACCCTCATATTTTAGTAAATACTGTTATAAACAAAAGCCAAAAGAAAGTATTTCCTGATAAGTAAGTATATAAGTTTCACACTCACGGGTTGTAACATATGATGTTATTCTTGCAGAATTAAAAGTTTGATTTTGGCTTGAGGGCATTCTCAAACAGTATAATATTTCTAACAATATGCTTTTATGTTAGCCTTTCTATAATACAAAGCATCACAACAGCTGGAAAATAAACTATTGTGGTCACCTTCAAATCACAGTGTTGTGAGCTGCTCTAAAAGAAATCGCATACAAATCAACGCACAGCCTTATTCTACCAAGTAACACTTGACCTGTTTCAGGAAATCCTGTTAAGAACAATATTTATGTGGCTATTTTGTCAACACTTAGAAATGTTAGAAAATGTTAGAAATATTGTCAACACTACCCCAAATCATGCTCTGAGGCCTATTGAAATATGCTCTGCTTTCACTGCCACATCAAAGAGCTCCTTTACTCTAAGTAATCATATTTGGGCTTTATCGGTTTATCACAGAAACAGAGTGCCAGATTTATGCCTTCTGCTTTAACAGCACTGAGATGAGTGCTTATACCAGAAGGACACGTTTGTACAGAAAAGCTTGTTAGGAAAAGATAGCAGCGTGAAAGGGTCTTGCCACAGCAGGGCTCTGGCATAGGGAATTCCTTGATAGTGCAGTAGATATAAATAGATTTTTTTTGCAAGAACATTGGCCATCTCCTTGCCCTACACTCACAGGGAGGCAAGACGCCTTCTGGCAGTACTACGAATCCCAGCAATCTGAGCATCACGTGTCATGTCTTTAACCACACTTGAGGCACAGCCTAATAGGCTTCTCACTTTGCGCTTTCAGACACTGAAGATGAGCTACTGCTTCTTACAAACCTCTCATTCTGCCCTTCGGTGAAATGAGTAATCTAGTCATTGGAAAAATCGCAGTAACAGAAAAGTCGCAGGTTGGTAATTGATGACCACTAGGGGAAAAAAATTGAAATTATTCTGTACCTCAGTGTGCTGTTTAACTTCTGAATTTTCAACCATCGAAAAGAACAATTCCCAGCAGCACATTTTTTTCAAAGATCAATTAAAAAAGGTAAGGGTAAAGTGAGAATCATAATCACATTTTAAATTCAAAGATTAGCCTTTTTAACCTAAATTAGAATATTTTACTCCAAACGTTAGCTCAGTTTCAAAAAGGCTTCTGCTACTGTGGAATATTTTACATATTTGCTGCAAGACCTTTCTGAAAATAACTGAATAGATGGGTTCAATTAATCTGAGTGTATTTATCCAAATACTATTCAGCCTTCTGAAGGGCACAGACACTGAAAAGGCAAAACTTCTCACTGATCTCTTAATGACATCACCCTTTTCATTTGCCAGAAGAAAAAACATTGCCGGTGACATAAAAGCCGGTACTCTGGAGGCAAGCTTATACATTTAACAGCTCTGCAAATTTGGTTAGTAAAAAACCCTGAGGAAAATTACATTTTGCCAGTGGTGCCCTCTAGAGGAAAACTCCGTAGCCTTCAGTAATTCAATGTCCACAATGCAAATTTAGTTTGGTTAGCACACTGAAAGAGCTATGGCTCAGGATTTGTGAGCAACACAATGCAGAAAATAACTTAATAGTTACCCCGTACATATACAAATACTCAACACCACGGATTTTCCACTGAAAAGTAGTGTTTGGATTATGCTGCCAGAAAGCAAGTGTCAAAGATGAGCGTTAGTGATGATCTTGGTCACTGACATGGTTCACACTCTTACATTTTTAAAACCCCAGAGAGATGGAATGTGGACAAAGAGATGATGTGCGGTGGCAAATGCTATCATTGCAAAATGAATGATTTAATTGATTTTGGTACTGTATTGGCACAATGACAGGGGTCATGGTGTAGTTCCTCAAATGCCATGAAAAACCAGGTCTTCCAATGTGATAACAAACAACCTAAGAGTTCCTTCATCATCTGAAGACTGCAGTGCTTCCCTGACCAGTTCTGTCATCACACCTGGCACAGACACCAGCTGTCAAGCATCTTTTCCAATACTAATCCAAGACCAAGGCATTAAATGGCCTGAGTTGCTGCCACAGGACATCATGCATAGTAAATATATCACTAAATATATATATATAGAGCAGGTGAATAATGTAGGAGCACAGAAGTCAAACAAAAATGCTTTATTAAAGAAAATCACCAGACAGTGTATAGAAGGTTAATATCTGATCACAACATTTTAATAAACACAGACAACACCACCTAGTGTACACGGCTGTAGATGGTCTTAGACTGTCCTTATTTCAGGTACAGAATAATGATCATAACCTCCCAGACTTACTTTACAGGATGAAGACAGTAAAAGTTTTACAGCTGCTTAAGTTTCACATGCCAGACATTGGCACAGAGATCTTAGCAGTTGTGTAAAAAACATGAGTGATAAAGGGATAAATGCCTTCCCCCCCCCATCACACATCCTGTAATTGATCATATGAATCAAGAGTTTTACAGTATTATTTTAAGAACATTTAGTATAAATGCTTCATAATTTCTCTCAGTTTATTTCTATAGGTCTATCTGAATCTGATCTATAAACCTGCAGAAAGTTATACTTTATTAATAAACATTTGCATTGTAAGATTTCTCTTGTTTATTTGGTGGGCTCTTAAAATGAAAACACATTCACAGAGAATCTTCAAGTATTTCAAGGTGTTGTACCAGCATACAAGAAAACTGTTTTCAGACCTTTCAGTGCTCAACACTCTTCTCTTTTCATTTGGCTTTGAAAGTGTTTTATCCCCAAAGCTATGTGAGAAAATTGTACACAAATATAATAAAAGGGAAACAAAAATTAGAAAAGGTCACATGTAAGGTTACAACAGTGTTCATTTTTTAGATTTTCCCTTTGGCATGTTCTGTTATTCTGTAAAATGAAAAAGGAACAAAACTCTATTTGAACATGACAGGGTGAATTTTCTGTTTTAGCACTTCCTAATTGCAAATTGTAAAAGCAATTATAGAGGATAGAAGTACAAATGATGTACTCGTGATGCACTAATGAAGGTTTTGCCGTGGAATCCAGTTTGCCAAAGGCCACATGTACTTAAAGATAAAATGATTCATTCTTCTTTTAATCTGGATAACAGTTTTGTGCTTGAAACTTAAAGTGAGCTTAAAAGAGGAAACAAAATGTAGTTTATTATTTGTCAGAAGGGGAAATTGAAACAAAGAGCAATTTCCCCCTCTGACAAACCATAAACTACATTTTGACAGCAGATTCTAGCTAATTTTTCAAAATATTTACCTTTTTAACAGATACAAGTTACAAAGTAACAAGATACAAGGTAGTTTAAACAGCTCTAATATTATGTTTTTTCAATCTTATTGTCCTACAATCAATAGTTATTAAAGCATCCTCACAAGTGAAATGAATTAATTCTAAATAATACAAAACAAGCTGTCACTTGTTAATAAATTCTACTCCCATCTCTTCTGCCTGACAAGTACAATGACTACTTGAAAAGACCTGAATCATTCCGATATGAATAGCAGGTTCCTGAAAGCACCACAGGGAAGGATATTACAGCAGTGAACAGCTGCAGAGTTGCCAGAACCTTCAGTTAAATATTAAGTAAACTACTTGATAAGCTAGGTTGCACTTATAAACAATACAGGAGGTTTGACCAGCAGTTTAATAAAATACACCTTACAAGTTTCATTCTTTCCAGTCACTAAATACATTCTGATGAAACTACTGAATGCTATTGTGTAGCTGACAAGGAGTTTATCCGAGTTTCTTTGTAAGGATGACATTCAGACTCTACCTTTGTGAACCACTGTCACAGAACCAGGCACCTGCCTTAGGCAAACAGAGCTGAAACTATGCTATTATAGATCACAGGCCAAACCCTTGCAGCAGGATATTTAGAATTATACACAAACCATCCTGCTTCGTGCTTTAAAAGACACCCTGAATCCAAACAAGAATCCTGTTGATGTAATTTACTAACTCAACATCGCAATGTCTGGAGGGGCTAAGTAAAGGATGAGTATTATATTCTGTACAAACATACCACCTGACCTTATGTTTGGCAATGAGATAAAAGTCTGCATGATGCATTAAAAGTCACAATGCATTCATGTACTTCCTGCTAAGTATCCTTTTTCAGTCAGAGCTCCTTTCTCAAACCAGCACTGCAATTCAGATATCTAAAATGAAACTACAAGAAAAACCAAGCTTGGCTCTTTAACTAATAAAACTCTCTGCAAAATAGAGAAGAAGGTACCAATATAAAAGGTACTTTTAACCTTTGACCTAGACTGATCTTAAGCTATGAAGGCAACTTAGTCTAGGAAAAGGAAAGATTCATTTCTACAAATTAGATTACATTCTGCATGTCTTTCTTATGTGGTTTCCTGGGGATTGAAAGTCACACAATATCTTATAGTGAAATCAGTCTTATGTGATTCATTTTAAGGGTTCAGCTATATTCACACCTGCTGACAGTTTATTAAAAACCACTAGAAATATTTAAATTGTGGGATAATTCAGAAGAAATTTAGAAGTAGACTTAATTGATTGTAATGTGGCTTGGAACACTACTGGACACCTCAGAATATATACCATGTGGAACTGCTCCAGACCCTCTACGCAAACTTTGTACTCTAAATACACCTGGTACTTTTATGTTTTGGAATTACACAGAATTTAATCATTTTGTAAGCCTG